CTATGGTACCGATATCCATTCTCATTGGTGTTGTTGTACAAAGAACCGAGTATGAAATAAAACTAAGCGACCATGTCCCCGCTTGTGTTCTGCTAGCCTTTTAAGGTCCAAAAGCAATCAAGTTTGAGTTATGATAAATGCTGAAGGACTCTTTGACAGTTTCGGCTGTACTACTTGATCAACTAAATGCGCATATCGGATAGCAAGAACCGTCTTTACAATTTTCTCAGGTTGCAGTTACTTTTTTACTAGTAATTTCTACACTCAAACTGAAATATATACTTTTCTTGAGGAAATACCACCCCCCTGAACGTATAACTTAAATATTTAACACACTGAAACAACCGAGTACATCACCGTAATAGTCTGTGTACAAAGTAAGTTCGTAACCCTTCCTACCCCCACTCAGCATCACAAATGTCATGCGCGGTACTGATAACTTTCTTCGTGTTTCTTCACAACATTGTCGTTGTCTTTTCTGGCTACATTTGGAGCATCCAATTATTTATTGTCCATTCTCTAGTCCACGTACCAAACTCGCGCTTCAGTTGTCGAATAATTCTCTGTTCTAAACACAGTACTGTGTGAAGTTTGAGTGCACCTACATGTAAAATTTCACCAAGCTTACTCAAGGACTTTTAAACCTGGTACCCGAGTTGGAAGTAGCATTTGTTCAAGACCATTTCAACCAATGGCAAGGAAAGCTCAGTATCCGTCGATCAATCTGAGTTGGCTGCTACCCCAGCTAACAATTTTCCAAAAAATACTTCCCTAGATGGAGTGGGAGACTTCAAAAGACAATTATTAGTAATTTTCATCAAACTTCTATGCTCCATCGAGAAGTACGAACCTACCCTCTATGGAGGACTTCTGGGCGAACTTCAGTTACATGAAAGTTACTCGACCTTTCCCAGAGGTGTAAACAAAATCCTGATCAGGTGTTTGTTTGGATGTGAAAAAGCAAATTTAAGCTTCCTCAGCATTTCAAAACAGTGGTTGTTGTGTCCGTTTTTTAAAAGAAACTGTGTAATGCATGTGATAGCTATCAGAACGTGAATTTACAGGTGTCCGAAAAAGACTCATTATATTACCCAATTTACTTTGGTTTGTGTGCTCCCCATACTCTCTACTAGTAGTTAGGTTGAAAGTTGGGTAGGAGTAACCACATCAAAACAAAATGTAATTGAATTTTAGTCTGTGTCGTATTGCGAAGTCCGTACATCACCGGTGTCAGCCCGATAACCGACTCGCAAACCTTAGGTAGGCTCAAGATCAGTCATTTACTTATATTGTCTGTCCTTTCTTCATTTGTGGCATAGTTTTACCTTGTGGTTTCTGTCGTTTTTGAGCTACATTTATAATGTTTAGCTTTTCACTGCTATTCATCATTATTGTATCCATTGTGTTCTTCGCCTTACTATTTTCCTTTAAATGTAATCGACAAATACAAATATTATACTTTACATTCCGTATGATTAACTGATATATGTATCGACAATGTCTTGGAACTCGTCATGTATTGCAAGCCAACCACCCTTTTCTTCCTTGATAGTAGATTTGCCTTCGATATGATGAACAAGACTTAGGGAAAAACGGTTTCCTTGAAGCGATCAGATATCATGAAAGCCCTGTTAGAAAGAGAACCTTAGGCAGAATGAAATACAACCACCTCTCAATTGTTCTGTACCAGCCTTTCCGCAGTCACGTGCACCACAAGAACTGGCCTCTTTGACCGTTCACTCACTAATCTAGGTCGGATAGCAGATAGGGGTTGGCTGTCTTATCTTAACATTGATATGTTATTTATTTGACCCGTGTGAGATTCTACACATTTGCTCTCCATCTGTCGATTCGGAAAACTTGTATAATATGCTTTTATCCAAAGACCTGTGATCTTTCTGACGTTCATGTCACACTAAGCACCAGAGCTGAAACAACAATGGTCGGTTGGACCCCAATTTTGTGCTGTTAGATTAGAAAGCTTCGTTCAAGTGAAACGAAATCGGTGGGAAGCGATCACTAGACGGATTGCAGCCCAGATCCAATCAACAGTGGATTCTACCACCAGTTGATTGATCTTCAGAAAGCGCGTTCAACAGATATTGTAGTGCTAGCCGGAAGTTTAAATGTGCATGTTGGGATGATCCAGAAAATTTCTCGCAAAAGACACGCAAGGATCAGGAAACATTAAGAAGCATTTCATTCAATCAGCGTTCACTTGGAGTTTTAGCCAGAAACATCAAGGATGTGAAACGTCACATGTAGAGGTTCTGATTGTTATACTACTACTATGTTTAGTAGCATTCCAGACTCTTTGAGCGACCCAAGGACATTTAAAATATAAAAACCCTATGTTTTCTGTATTAAAATGAACCTTGGAGTAAAGTACTTTTCGCCTTCTCTCTCGTATTCAGGTCGCTGTATAGTTCTAGCTTGGGAGTTACAAGAATAGCTTAGGAACCAAGTATAGCGTTCAAATTGCAAGACTTGTCAGTGCAGGTCTGGTATCTGAGCTTAAATGAGAGCCATTTAGGTGCCCAGTAGGAACTTTTCTCAGGTCAGACAATGGTAACCGTCTACCTCAATTTTGCACAAACTACAACTAACATCTTAAGGCCCTTACATACTAACACCTCGGGCAGTGGGAACACAAAACCAAACCCCTCATTGTTCCATTCAAGCAGTGAGCTTAGGAGGGTTGCCCGACCCCACCATTCCTCATCAACTTCGTCATCAGTGACATTCTATAAACAGCTCTAATGGTAGGAGGTAAGAGTGGTCCGGAACTGCTACCTGGAGACTATGACCTTCAGCATGCCGATATTGCATCACTGTGCGATGATACTCACGCCATGAGATCTGCACTTAGTCAGTTGGCAATCAGCGTTAAAGGTTCGTCGACAACTGTTCAAGCACGGTGACGGCACTACCATTTAGAAACACCGATTTTTGTTACGAACATCATCCAAGCAAATTTCACATTGTTATTTGCCGGTTGAGAAGGGTGAGATGTAGGCAGTGTATGATATGGTATTGTGGTATGAAGAGAACCTGTACAGGAGTGGGACCGATCAATTCTTCACGACTCCATGGTTGGGGTCCGAGAAACATTGATACACAGCAGCTTAAGACGTTACCAGACATGACCAAGTTTAAAAGTCATAGACATGTCGACAACTTCACTTATCTTGGAAGTCTGTTCGACACTGGTGGGTTGGTGCCTGACAAAATCTCTGCACTGATTCAATAAGCTCGTTCGGCTTTTGCCAACTTACGTCACCTATGGTTGGGCCAAGTATTTTACATGCCAAATCACCGACTATCACGACGCACAATGCTGTTTAGTGTTGGAGACAGATGGAAGTTAGGGGCGGCCAAACCAAAATGTGGTATCAGTCCATAAAGCCACTAAATCCTGGTCTGAGCCATGTTGGTAGATCCAGACTACTTGGTTGGGGTCTGCGCGACTACCATAACCAGTGACTGGAGACTCTATGTGACGTCTCAGAATCCATCACAATGTCGTAGTTGTATACACTCTTTGTCATCCCATAAACCGTGAGATTAGAATTACTTCATACCTTTTTTTCTACGAACCAATTCTTTCTCTTTGTATTGTATCCTTATATGAAATCTTTCTTTTATACATTACTATCATTGAAGTAACTACTTCTGTGAATTTGGTGATTGTTTTGTTGTGCTAATGAGGTGTGGCAACCTCTACCGATGTATATATGTGCCTGGTCCTACGTTTTAGATGAATGACTAACTGACCTGTACTTTATCCTATTGACTGTGCACTACGGTGACTTTCAGCATTCAAGGGACGTGTCTCTAACTTAGATTTCTTACGAACTATTCTCTAGCCCACAGGCATTCTATTCTAGTTAGGTGAATAACATGAAATAGTTTGGCCCCGAACAATGATGAGGTATAGGAATCATGAAGCTGTCGTTTTCAATTATGGAAAACTCAACTAGTGCAGAGTTTCAGCCTTTCCTGTTTATCAATATCGAACTAGCGAAACTAAGTAAGACTAACTTCTGAATAACATGTGGTAAGTTAGCTTTAATATTATTAAGCAAGGATTTTACATACAGAATCATCTTACACTACATTAGAAAGACGCTAAAATACTTTTGATATGTACAGTAAATTTATGAGGAAACATAAATATATTATAGAATGTATGCCTATATATCATATTCAAGTTATTAGAGATCATTTTTAGACAATTTCAAATAAAACACACTTTTGAAATCAAATGTGTTGTAGAACATAAAGATGAATAAAGTGTCTCAAAATCACTGGTGTATGCACCATGAAAGGCGGGAAATAATTCTATCAAATAAATCACATAAAATAGCATTTGTAGTGTATACAGTTTATGAATGTGGATTTGATGACAAAGCTTTGATATCCCACACCTAAAAACAAAAAAAAACAACCGTAAACTAGTCAGTAATTAAAGCTACGGGAAAACATACACCATACGTATACACAATTTCAATAACACGTTATTTTTTAAAATAAGAGTTGATTACATTCGGGAATTTAAGCAGTTAGGTATCAAAATACATTGTTTTGTGCTATGAAATACCTATATTCAACCAAAACAACACTGACTGATAGTTATACACTTGAACCTAATCATTTTTGGCAAGTTGAACGATAGTACGATAGTGAAAGCGACGCCACAGTCAGCAAATAAATTCGTACTAGTGATTCTTCTTGAATATCACAGTGCTTAATTACTACACACTACTGACTAGCTATTGTGTAATTTATATACCTCATTTACATTTTCATATAGGATCTATACATATTAACCATATAGAGGCCAATATAATCAACGTCCAGTAAGCTTGTTTTGCCATATTCAAGTAAAATAGATATAGAGACTCGGTCGAACCAAGTGTGAAGCAAACAGCATGCTAACCATGTTTATTTGAACTGTTAGAATAAATTTCACGCTAAATATAAATGTGTGAGATGTATTCAACAACTCTAAAGAAATTCATCATATTTGTTGGTAACAGAAAGAAAACTAAACAATACCTGTATAGGGAGATAATCAAGGTAAACAATACTATATTTTACCTTATCAATGAAATGCTCTTTATAGAATTCGATGTAACATTAAACTAAGGTTTCTAAGCGTTTTGTACGGTTATTTAATCACGCCTAAACACAGAACTTAATTGTTTTACTAAAGAATGAAGTGGAATGCTTCAATGGTTAAAATGAATATTGGAGAAGAACTATGTTTGCTCAAAAACGTTTAACCTAACTTCAGCTGGTCAGTCGACTGCCATCCACAGAATGGTATCACCACATTGAATTCTCTTAGTTTTTTGTCAGTCCAGTCCAAAACATGTCTCAGAAGTATAACATTGAAGTTACAATTTCACAAATCACTGCTAACAAAACGGTTTTCCAGCTGTTATTATAGATAACTTTTGCTATGGTCATTATTATTTGCTTAATGTGAACTTGAGTACATGAATTACCAAAAATCCAATGACCGAAAATATCACTTTAGTAATGTGTTTGTTTAGAACGTCTGATAATGTAGATAGAAGACATACTTATTAGTGAAGACGTTTGTCTGCTAGAGTCGTTACACGGGTCACTTTGACCTACTTTAAATTTCAAAAAAATACATAGTTGTTGTAGTTACCTTGATAATCCGATCTTTCCCAACCGTTAGAAGTAAATTCAGGGATTCCTCTACACGAATACATGTAACAGGATGGCGAGCGTCAAACGAAGTAGCCAAACTCCTGCGGCTAAAAGATAACGAAACAAAGTCAGTTAATAATTATTAAGCTATGTTGTTTTGCCTGACAAAAATTTACCATATTTATTTATTTAAACACAAACATAGGCTCAAAGGGACTCCGAAATATATATGCGTCACACAAACCATTGAATTTGTGTGGGCTGAGATACTACCTGGGTGCCAAAACTGAAGCGAGTGGTTTTCTTTGACGGCCACTCCCCGAGTCTTTGACCCAGAGGTCTAATCCACAAGGGAGTGGAGCTACGTTAGGAGATACAGTCCCATGGAAGCTAGCGACCAAGAATAGGTTCATATGCCATTTGTTCTGCCAGGATCCTGGAACCCATATGCACAATTGGTTTGGAGTCATGGTTTTCCGAATTCCCTAGGTGGATCCTCCGTATCCGCTAACCCGGTTCAAGCACTGAACGTTCCAATTTTCGTCCTTTCAATTTTGTAAACAACACCTCCAATACGACTTCCCTGGCAGTAGCTGTATACACTCGGCCATGTGCGCGTATTTGGAGGGCGAAAGGGGACTCTATCCACCTGGAGGGGGATGAGAATATACCATAACAAGAGAAATAACTGGACACCAATATAAAACAAGAACTTTAGGAATATACTTTACAAGTCCCATATATTAGATGAATACCAAACGTTCCACTAAGGTTTATTACTAATGAATTCGTCAATCATAAAAGTGCACCTGACAAATAGTCCACGTTTCGATGGTACAAACTCTGTATGAGGGAATTTCAAAACGCTCGCCATACTTCATAACTCAAACAGTTTCGTTAGAAAACTGATTAAACGGACAAATATTGATCCTAAATACTAACTATCCACACAATGAAATGACTCTCTCAGTGAATTAAACGACTCAATAACCAAATACAAACGATCGATATTTGTCAGCGCTATATATACTACTTGATAGTTAGGGACAAATTAGAAAGGACAGAAATTTGAATTTGACTGAATGCAGTGAACTTTGATTACCAATATGAGAGCCACAGTTACCGCTATTTACAAATACATAATTTTATTTGGATAAAAAACAGACCAATTTTAAAATCACCTACTCTGAATCAGTTATTAAAGGAAAGCATTGATTGCATATACGAACATCTTTTTCGAAACCCATGCACGGTAGATTAGACCGATAAGGAGAACACTTGTCACAAACAGCATGACCACATCGACGACAGTGATGCTAAAAGTAGTGAAGGAAAAATATGGGTCAAAATTAAACACCAACTCAAACAACATAAAGTATGATGTATTATAGAGTTCGGAGGAAAAATAAAAATAATCGTATCTATCAGCTATCGTAAAGAAAAGAATGAACATCTCCATACCCCTAGATTATCTCATTCAAGTTTCAAACCCTCTACAAAAATAAATACAGATGCTAGAGGCTTCGTGGACTCCTATCGCATCTTGATTTCATTACATATTAGGAAATAACTTTCTGATTCCAACTTCTTAGGAAGTAAAATCATGTTGACGAAATAGTTTTAACAATATAATAGCAATATAAATTATTGGAGAAGTACTGGTTGCATATCGTAGACAACTCCAACTTCAAGATAATAAATATAAATTCACAAAGCATTACTACGAAGAAATGCAATGATTCCAACGCCCGAACATATTACGCTAGCAAACATGGGTGAAAAACATGGGAAGTGTTTCAGTCATGATAGTAGTAAGGTAAAACTTGATACTTACTGGCGCAAATCTCACAGACAACTGCAAACATTCAGGAAAAACTATGGTTGAGAACGAACCTGTCTTCCAACTTTTTGTTCAAAAAACGAGTCAGTGGGCTAGGTGTACCTAATAATGCTCCCAAATGCCCTGGTATGGCCAAGAGTGGGGAGAGTCCGCTCTCCCTCTCGAAATGCTCTCACATGGCCATGCGTATATAGCCTCTGCCAGGGAAGTCCTACTCACTGCCTTCTCGTGGCATTACTGTTGTTTACGAAAATGAGAGGACGAAAAGCGAATTTCCGGCGCTATAACCGGATCCCAAATCAATGGTGCACATGGGCTACACGATCCTGAAGGAACAAATGACGTATGAACCAATCGTTGGTCACCGGCTACCATGGGACTGCATCTACTTACGATGCTCCACTGTCTTGTTGGTCAGACCTTTAGGTCGAAGATTCGGGGTGTAGCTCCCTAAGAAAACCACCTGTTTCGGTTTGGGCACCCGGGCAGCATCCCAGCCTACGCACTAAAACATGATGAACTATTTACTTATGGAAAATACTCTTTTCGCTCCGATTTACACTGAAATGACTCTCACCACTATTATTATTATTATTGTTATTATTATTAGTATTAATATTATTATTAATTTTATTATTATTATTATTTACCACGTCATCTATTCACTCTCTTTTATTTCCACTCTGTCCATCCTTATTCTTCGACTTATACAACAGCTCGCCTATGGTGAAAATTCGGCTCTATCTAAACGCTCTCGAGTCACTGCCTGGTTGGAAATTGTATGTTACCACCGAATACGAGTACTGGAGCAGTTTTTCTGAAACCACGCGCACCATTCAAACTGGCTGTCTTCAACGTTCGCACACTTATGCAGATCGGACAACAGATAGGGCTGGCTTTCTTTTGATTCCTTACAACTGATTGAAGCCCGTCGGTCTACTCCGGGTGACCGTGAGTTTGACCACAGACGAAGGATGTTACGTAACGAAATCGGGCAAAGCTTGCGTAAGGACCGAGAAGCCTGGTGGTCGGAACGTGCTAATGAGCTGGAAGCAGCAGCTGCATCTGGTAATTACCGGAAGCTCTTCCAACTCATCCGAGCCACTGGCAGCAAGAAGCCTGGTGTGAGCGAAACAATCTGCGAGGATGACGGAACGCCAATCACTAACATCGATCGACGTCTTGGACGATGGGCAGAATTCTTTGAAGGGCAGTTCAACTGGCCTGCTGCTCCGGCAACATCGGTCAGACTGTCCTGCCCTCCATGGCCGGTGACGACTGATCCACCAAATGAGGCGGAAGTCCGCAAGGAACTCCAACTCTTGAAGCGTTACAAATTACCAGGCCCAGACGACTTACCTCTGGCTCTTTTTAAAGATGGTGGTGACTTCCTGACTAAGGGACTAACGACGTTGTTTACAAAGATCTGGGAACTAGAGAGTGTACCAACGTCATGGAATGAGTCGATAGTTGTCCCTATCTTTAAAAAGGGTTCACGTCTTTCCTGTAACAACTATCAAGCGACAAGTCTACTTCCGATTGCGTCTAAGCTATTGGCTTCCGTTATACTTCGTAGGTTGTTCAAAACCCGAGAAGGATTGACTCGCGAGAAGCAGGCTGGGTTTCGTTCTGGTCGAGGATGTATTGATCATATCTTCACCCTCCGCCAAATGTTCGAACACCGCCATACTTATCAAAGGCCAAAAATCATAGTGTTTCTTGACATAAGGGCCGCTTTCGGTTCGTTGGACAAGACTGTTCTCTGGGATTGTCTACTGAAGAAGGGTGTGCCTGAGAAGTTTATTAACATCCTGAAAGCATTATACACAAACACCTCAGGCAGAGTGAGGGCATACAACCACCTTTCTCCATTGTTCCATTCAAGCAGTGGGGTTAGACAGGGTTGCCCAATCTCACCATTCCTCTTCAACTTTGCCATCGATGACATTCTGGAAACAGCTCTGATGGATGTAAACAATGGTGGTGTGGATCTGTTGCCTGGAGAAAGACTTCTCGATCTTGAGTATGCGGATGATATTGTCTTACTGTGCGAGAATGTTCAAGCCATGCAATCCGCACTTAATCAGTTGGCAATCAGTGTCCGTAGGTATGGTATGTGCTTTGCACCCTCGAAGTGCAAAGTTCTTCTACAAGACTGACAGGATTCTAATCCTGTACTCACTCTGGATGGTGAGCAGATAGAAGTAGTCGAGGAGTTCGTTTATCTGGGTAGCTGCATAAGTGCTGGTGGTGGCGTGAGAGATGAGATCAATGCACGTATAGTGAAAGCCAGAGCGGCTTATGCCAATCTGGGCCATCTTTGGCACCTTCGTGATGTTAGTCTGGCTGTAAAAGGTCGGATCTACAACGCGTCAGTGAGAGCAGGTTTGCTCTATGCTTGTGAAACCTGGCATCTTCGAGTTGAGGATGTTAGACGACTCTTTGTGTTCGATCATCGTTGTCTCCGAAGGATTGCTGACATTCAATGGCAACACCATGTTAGTAATGCAGAGGTTCGGCATCGTGTGTTCGGGCACAGAGACGATAATTCCATTGGTGTCACCATCTTGAAACACCGACTTCGGTGTCTTGAACATGTTCTACGAATGTTGTCCCAGAGAATTCCTCGTCGTGCAGTATTTGCCGACTCTGGGACTGGTTGGAAAAAGCGGAGAGGTGGTCAGTATATGACATGGTGTCGTGGTATGAAAGAAAGCTGCAAAGGGCTAGCTTCTGTCGGTCCTTCACGACTCCCTGGCTGGGGTCCGAGAGACGGTGTAACACAGTGGCTAGAGACGTTATCAGATATGGCTCAGAATAGAAGCCATTGGCGATCCTGCTGTAACCTTCTTTCACTTTCTTTATAAAAAGTGGTTGCATCTTCCTTAACTGAAAGATTTCTTCTGATTGTACCTTTCCGTTTCCCCCATTATTGCTCTCTCTTTTTTCTCCTTTCTCTTCAAATTATCATTGTTTTGTGTGGCGCATATATATTTGGTGACCCCTTGTACCAATATTTATGTGTTCAAATAAATAAATAAATAATAACCTAATAATGTGTGACTAACAGCAAGGCTTCAGTTTTCAATCTTTCCTCACATAACACATCCCCGATTACAACGAGATGCTTTGGTACAGGAGTGTCACTTAACACGAATTCACAAACAGAAAACTTAACCACAACAAACATTGATAATTGAAAAGCTGTTGAGTAAAGTCTGTTCAACAAAACCATATTGACCACCATAATCGATCACTAGTAAAAGTGATTTGAAATATAACCAACAGAATCAACTGAACGTGGGGGTTTGAAGCGCATACGTTGACTATAAGGTGTACTGTAAGTTAATAAATGATTACCAACATGACACGAAAACTAAAAGGGGGGAGATTTACCACAACACACACTGATTTACACTGGAGACGTGATTATATATATATATATATATATATATATATATATATATATATATATATATATATATATATATATATATATATATATATATATATATATATTTCTCACTTAGTACAAATTTACTGTAATTCGGTAAAACAGTGAACTCCTTATTCTTTCATCTTGAATCGTCTCTGATTATTTAGAATACGATGCTCTCAAGTGGTGATCACTGTCCTAACAGATATTAGCTGAAGAGTTAAAAAACGAATAGGAAGGTTACAACCTGTTGTCTTGTAACCTTCAGCCTTTCTCAAAAGCTATGACAATCATTCTAGAATGAATAGTGTGATGCTCATAATTTGGTTAACATTCATTGAATTGAAAGAACTGCATTGCATTAATGAGCATACTTTTAACGAAAATTTGAACAAAAATGAATACCTGACGCACACCAACCGACATGTTGTTCCACATTTTACGGACATTCCAGAAAAATGGCCCGCTACAGATATGACAGATATCTGATTCTGACCAGTTAGGACTTTCTATGCGTGAAGGGTCCATAAACCAGAAAATCAGATAACCATCAAGACCACCGGATATAAGTAGTCCTTTGTACTTACTGTCCTTGACGTTTGCAGAAGAGGCACCCGTACTCCACCAACATATTGACGATACTTCTTTGGAATGTCCCTTGATGCAAAAGTAGTATAATGTAAATTATTACCATTAATATACGATTGGATCATTTCATAGTTTCGTAACAAAGATTTTTTAAAGTATTCAGTTAATTTAACATTAAAAGGAATTCCAAGAAAAAACTGACCTATACAACGATGGGACCAAATGAATAGGACTTATAAGACGAAAAAAACCTACCCTATGCTATATCGTAACATATACCCGAAACCTGCCTCTTAAATCTAAATAACAAATCAGACAGCCCATATCTTAGATGAAGGAAAGTCAGTTAGCTAGCTGAAAAGTAGGACCAGGCACATATATACATCGGTAGAGGTTGCCACACCTCATTAGCACAACAAAACAATCACCAAATTCACAGAAGTAGTTACTTCAATGATAGTAATGTATAAAAGAAAGATTTCATATAAGGATACAATACAAAGAGAAAGAATTGGTTCGTAGAAAAAAAGGTATGAAGTAATTCTAATCTCACGGTTTATGGGATGAAAAAGAGTGTATACAACTACGACATTGTGATGGATTCTGAGACGTCACATAGAGTCTCCAGTCACTGGTTATGGTAGTCGCGCAGACCCCAACCAAGTAGTCTGGATCTACCAACATGGCTCAGACCAGGATTTGGTGGCTTTATGGACTGATGCCACATTTTGGTTTGGCCGCCCCTAACTTCCATCTGTCTCCAACACTAAACAGCATTGTGCGTCGTGATAGTCGGTGATTTGGCATGTAAAATACTTGGCCCAACCATAGGTGACGTAAGTTGGCAAAAGCCGAACGAGCTTATTGAATCAGTGCAGAGATTTTGTCAGGCACCAACCCACCAGTGTCGAACACACTTCCAAGATAAGTGAAGTAGTCGACATGTTCGACCACTTCACTCCCTATCCTTAGTTCAAGTGTTGATGCAGGTCAGTCCTGAAACATCAATTTGCATTTAGAGGTGGAGAAACATATTTCAAACATTCTGGTATTGTTACCGAAAAACTGCATTTTACTAGCCTCTTCATCGAACAGGACTATGTCATCTGTGTATTCTAAGTAAGTGTATCTCCTGGTGGGAGATCAATTCCTGAAAACTCAGTCGACGAGAACGTTATTTCCAGCAGTAGGTCTTTGACGAAATTAAACAAAAAATGAAGATAGTGAACAGCCTTGTCGGACATCACTTGAGGTTGTGGAATCGGATAACAGTTCATCATAAGCTCTAACTCAACTGATAGTGTTCGAGTAAAGAGGAAGGAGGGTGAGTATGGTAAGTAAAAAGGTAATATGCCGATAAAAATAAATGGATAATAATACATTCCTGGGAGCAGTTCAGTTAAGATAAACACAACCGAAGATTGTTTCAGCACGAGAGATTCCCCTCACTTATGTGAAGAAAGGAAGAATAGGTTGTTCCAGTCCTGTCTATGACTTTTAAACTTGGCCATGTCTGGTAACGTCTTAAGCTGCTGTGTATCAATGTTTCTCGGACCCCAACCATGGAGTCGTGAAGAATTGATCGGTCCCACTCCTGTACAGGTTCTCTTCATACCACAATACCATATCATACACTGCCTACATCTCACCCTTCTCAACCGGTTTCAACGTCGGCAAATAACAATGTGAAATTTGCTTGGATGATGTTCGTAACAAAAATCGGTGTTTCTAAATGGTAGTGCCGTCACCGTGCTTGAACAGTTGTCGACATGTTCGACCACTTCACTCCCTATCCTTAGTTCAAGTGTTGATGCAGGTCAGTCCTGAAACATCAATTTGCATTTAGAGGTGGAGAAACATATTTCAAACATTCTGGTATTGTTACCGAAAAACTGCATTTTACTAGCCTCTTCATCGAACAGGACTATGTCATCTGTGTATTCTAAGTAAGTGTATCTCCTGGTGGGAGATCAATTCCTGAAAACTCAGTCGACGAGAACGTTATTTCCAGCAGTAGGTCTTTGACGAAATTAAACAAAAAATGAAGATAGTGAACAGCCTTGTCGGACATCACTTGAGGTTGTGGAATCGGATAACAGTTCATCATAAGCTCTAACTCAACTGATAGTGTTCGAGTAAAGAGGAAGGAGGGTGAGTATGGTAAGTAAAAAGGTAATATGCCGATAAAAATAAATGGATAATAATACATTCCTGGGAGCAGTTCAGTTAAGATAAACACAACCGAAGATTGTTTCAGCACGAGAGATTCCCCTCACTTATGTGAAGAAAGGAAGAATAGGTTGTTCCAGTCCTGTCTATGACTTTTAAACTTGGCCATGTCTGGTAACGTCTTAAGCTGCTGTGTATCAATGTTTCTCGGACCCCAACCATGGAGTCGTGAAGAATTGATCGGTCCCACTCCTGTACAGGTTCTCTTCATACCACAATACCATATCATACACTGCCTACATCTCACCCTTCTCAACCGGTTTCAACGTCGGCAAATAACAATGTGAAATTTGCTTGGATGATGTTCGTAACAAAAATCGGTGTTTCTAAATGGTAGTGCCGTCACCGTGCTTGAACAGTTGTCGACATGTTCGACCACTTCACTCCCTATCCTTAGTTCAAGTGTTGATGCAGGTCAGTCCTGAAACATCAATTTGCATTTAGAGGTGGAGAAACATATTTCAAACATTCTGGTATTGTTACCGAAAAACTGCATTTTACTAGCCTCTTCATCGAACAGGACTATGTCATCTGTGTATTCTAAGTAAGTGTATCTCCTGGTGGGAGATCAATTCCTGAAAACTCAGTCGACGAGAACGTTATTTCCAGCAGTAGGTCTTTGACGAAATTAAACAAAAAATGAAGATAGTGAACAGCCTTGTCGGACATCACTTGAGGTTGTGGAATCGGATAACAGTTCATCATAAGCTCTAACTCAACTGATAGTGTTCGAGTAAAGAGGAAGGAGGGTGAGTATGGTAAGTAAAAAGGTAATATGCCGATAAAAATAAATGGATAATAATACATTCCTGGGAGCAGTTCAGTTAAGATAAACACAACCGAAGATTGTTTCAGCACGAGAGATTCCCCTCACTTATGTGAAGAAAGGAAGAATAGGTTGTTCCAGTCCTGTCTATGACTTTTAAACTTGGCCATGTCTGGTAACGTCTTAAGCTGCTGTGTATCAATGTTTCTCGGACCCCAACCATGGAGTCGTGAAGAATTGATCGGTCCCACTCCTGTACAGGTTCTCTTCATACCACAATACCATATCATACACTGCCTACATCTCACCCTTCTCAACCGGTTTCAACGTCGGCAAATAACAATGTGAAATTTGCTTGGATGATGTTCGTAACAAAAATCGGTGTTTCTAAATGGTAGTGCCGTCACCGTGCTTGAACAGTTGTCGACATGTTCGACCACTTCACTCCCTATCCTTAGTTCAAGTGTTGATGCAGGTCAGTCCTGAAACATCAATTTGCATTTAGAGGTGGAGAAACATATTTCAAACATTCTGGTATTGTTACCGAAAAACTGCATTTTACTAGCCTCTTCATCGAACAGGACTATGTCATCTGTGTATTCTAAGTAAGTGTATCTCCTGGTGGGAGATCAATTCCTGAAAACTCAGTCGACGAGAACGTTATTTCCAGCAGTAGGTCTTTGACGAAATTAAACAAAAAATGAAGATAGTGAACAGCCTTGTCGGACATCACTTGAGGTTGTGGAATCGGATAACAGTTCATCATAAGCTCTAACTCAACTGATAGTGTTCGAGTAAAGAGGAAGGAGGGTGAGTATGGTAAGTAAAAAGGTAATATGCCGATAAAAATAAATGGATAATAATACATTCCTGGGAGCAGTTCAGTTAAGATAAACACAACCGAAGATTGTTTCAGCACGAGAGATTCCCCTCACTTATGTGAAGAAAGGAAGAATAGGTTGTTCCAGTCCTGTCTATGACTTTTAAACTTGGCCATGTCTGGTAACGTCTTAAGCTGCTGTGTATCAATGTTTCTCGGACCCCAACCATGGAGTCGTGAAGAATTGATCGGTCCCACTCCTGTACAGGTTCTCTTCATACCACAATACCATATCATACACTGCCTACATCTCACCCTTCTCAACCGGTTTCAACGTCGGCAAATAACAATGTGAAATTTGCTTGGATGATGTTCGTAACAAAAATCGGTGTTTCTAAATGGTAGTGCCGTCACCGTGCTTGAACAGTTGTCGACATGTTCGACCACTTCACTCCCTATCCTTAGTTCAAGTGTTGATGCAGGTCAGTCCTGAAACATCAATTTGCATTTAGAGGTGGAGAAACATATTTCAAACATTCTGGTATTGTTACCGAAAAACTGCATTTTACTAGCCTCTTCATCGAACAGGACTATGTCATCTGTGTATTCTAAGTAAGTGTATCTCCTGGTGGGAGATCAATTCCTGAAAACTCAGTCGACGAGAACGTTATTTCCAGCAGTAGGTCTTTGACGAAATTAAACAAAAAATGAAGATAGTGAACAGCCTTGTCGGACATCACTTGAGGTTGTGGAATCGGATAACAGTTCATCATAAGCTCTAACTCAACTGATAGTGTTCGAGTAAAGAGGAAGGAGGGTGAGTATGGTAAGTAAAAAGGTAATATGCCGATAAAAATAAATGGATAATAATACATTCCTGGGAGCAGTTCAGTTAAGATAAACACAACCGAAGATTGTTTCAGCACGAGAGATTCCCCTCACTTATGTGAAGAAAGGAAGAATAGGTTGTTCCAGTCCTGTCTATGACTTTTAAACTTGGCCATGTCTGGTAACGTCTTAAGCTGCTGTGTATCAATGTTTCTCGGACCCCAACCATGGAGTCGTGAAGAATTGATCGGTCCCACTCCTGTACAGGTTCTCTTCATACCACAATACCATATCATACACTGCCTACATCTCACCCTTCTCAACCGGTTTCAACGTCGGCAAATAACAATGTGAAATTTGCTTGGATGATGTTCGTAACAAAAATCGGTGTTTCTAAATGGTAGTGCCGTCACCGTGCTTGAACAGTTGTCGACATGTTCGACCACTTCACTCCCTATCCTTAGTTCAAGTGTTGATGCAGGTCAGTCCTGAAACATCAATTTGCATTTAGAGGTGGAGAAACATATTTCAAACATTCTGGTATTGTTACCGAAAAACTGCATTTTACTAGCCTCTTCATCGAACAGGACTATGTCATCTGTGTATTCTAAGTAAGTGTATCTCCTGGTGGGAGATCAATTCCTGAAAACTCAGTCGACGAGAACGTTATTTCCAGCAGTAGGTCTTTGACGAAATTAAACAAAAAATGAAGATAGTGAACAGCCTTGTCGGACATCACTTGAGGTTGTGGAATCGGATAACAGTTCACCATAAGCTCTAACTCAACTGATATTGTTCGACTAAAGAGATTTTACAAGATTTACGTACTTCTGAGGTACGCCTTTCAATGACAGACACTGTCACAGAACATTTCGATTTAGTGTCAAATGCTGCTTTGAAGTCAAAATAAGCTATCACGTCGGATGCTGATAGGCATGCTTGAGTTCTTAGATCTGATGAATGGTGAATCTGTGGTCTATGCATCCATGACCAGGTCTGAAGCCAGCTTGATTCTCTCGTGTTTGCAGTTCACGAGTCTTAATTAGGCGTCCGATAATTATCGAGGCTAGTATTTTAGATACTATATTAGTTAAACTAACCCCTCTGTGGTTCTCACAGGATGATTTTGACCCTTTCTTATGTATTGAGACAATCAGTGACTGTGACCAGTCATATGGGATTACGTACAACTCTCAGATTTTAGCTAAGATATTAACCAACCTTATCGCTAAAATTGGACCACCATACTTAAAGACCTCTGGAGCCAATCCATCTGGACCAGCTGCTCTTCCTCGTTTTACATTAGCTATAGCTTTTTAAACTTCAATTAGTCGGTGGGCCTATTTCAGTGTTCCACTGAGGCTGTTTGGAGATGGTGGGTAGCTGTAGAGCAGCTGAACTGCTCCTTAAAGTGTTCCACCCATCGTTCTAAACATCTGAGAGTGCTTTTATTTCCGAGATTGTCTCACTTACAATTGACTTCTCAATTCCGGTTTCTTCTATTAGTTTGAAAAGCCGTCTTGTGTTACATACAGCCGCTGTTTTTTCCATCTCTTTTGCTTTTGGTTAACCTAGATCTGATTTGCTTTCGCTCTACATCGTGTTCGGAGCCTGATGGGATGAGTTTGCGAGGGTCTATCAGGGCAATAGACCTAGTAGAAATCCACTGATTTTTTAGCTTTACCATCGATGACATTCTGGAAACAGCTCTGATGGATGTAAACAATGGTGGTGTGGATCTGTTGCCTGGAGAAAGACTTCTCGATCTTGAGTATGCGGATGATATTGTCTTACTGTGCGAGAATGTTCAAGCCATGCAATCCGCACTTAATCAGTTGGCAATCAGTGTCCGTAGGTATGGTATGTGCTTTGCACCTTCGAAGTGCAAGGTGTAGTGGTATGAAAGAAAGCTGCAAAGAGCTAGCTTCTGTTGGTCCTTCACGACTCCCTGGCTGGGGTCCGAGAGACGGTGTAACACAGTGGCTAGAGACGTTATCAGATATGGCTCAGAATAGAAGCCATTGGCGATCCTGCTGTAACCTTCTTTTACTTTCTTTATAAAAAGTGGTTGCATCTTCCTTAACTGAAAGATTTCTTCTGATTGTACCTTTCCGTTTCCCCCATTATTGCTCTCTCTTTTTTCTCCTTTCTCTTCAAATTATCATTGTTTTGTGTGGCGCATATATATTTGGTGCCCCCTTGTACCAATATTTATATGTTCAGATAAAATAAAATAAATAATATACTTTCCAAGCAACATCTGGGTGAGCCTCGTTTTCAGAACTACCTAAGTGTGACCTCAGTTGTTCTCGGAACCTACGTTTGGTTTTCTCGTTACTCAGTTCAGTTCTAATGGGTCTTTTTAATGTGGCTTTTTTGCGTCCAGTGAAGCGCAAGCAGATGCGTGCTCGTATTAGGGCATGGTCGGAGTCCAAACAGGTACTCCAGAATGAGCGATAATCTGCTATCGACCCTCTCTAACGATGACTGATGGCAATACGGTCTTTTTGAGTCCATCGTGTGTTTGGTGCAAGGGGTCGCCATGTTAGACGATATCTCTCCTTGTGCTTAAAATTAGTGCTTGTTAAAAATAAACTATTGTTTGAGCCCAGTTGTAGCAGACGATCACCATTATCTGTTCACTGAGCCGGAATACTTAAATACCTACCTAAATGTATTTCTGTTTGGTTTAAGCTACCCACTTGGGTGTTAAAGTCATCTGCTACAAGTACTATGTCTGAGTGTTTAGCTTTCTGAAGAAGCTTCCTGTAAAATTCACCCTTCACCTCGTCCGGGCTGCAGTCAGTGAGAGCGTAGGCAGAAACAGTGAAAAGGCAACGACGCGTGTCCCTATCTTTCCGGGTTCTTACAGAGCTGTTTAGCCGAATAGCACATAAGCAACTGTTGACAGGGATCCATTCTAATAGTGCTTGTTCTGCCCTTATACATAGTGCTATGCACACCAGTCCACGAGATCTAGTATTCGGGTCGCCAGACAAAGGGAGGGTGTATCTCGTCGGCTCTCCGTTTTGCCGAGGTGAGGTCAAGTGAATGACTGCACTAGGATCCTGTATGTGTTTCGGCGACACAGCATACATCAATTGTACGAGATTCTAGGGTTTTAGCCAAGGATGCCTGCTGACCGATTTGACATAGTGTGCGTACGTTGAAGGCTCCGATGTGTAGTTTGGAGCGAGGTTTCAGTAGACCTTGCACAGTGTTTTGAGCACTAGAATCGTTGGCTATAGTGAGGAGGAAACCAAAGGAGGTTTGAAAGTCGATGTAGGAGGAATAATAGGAATTGAAGAGGGAGGTTGATTATGAATACAGTGGTCTTGAGTGCTGTTAGAGGTATGAGAGCGGTTATCACTTCCCGGTTGCCCACACCGTGGAAGGGTTCTTCTAGAGTCTCCTGATAATTTAATTGGGTCAGAGTTGGTCTTAGTGACCTGAGAGCGTGACGGCAGTACCTAAGGAACAACTGCTTGAGTCCGGTTAGAAACGACCTTTTCTTGAGTAATTTTTGTGTTAGCTCCGTACTTGTTGGGACCTTACATTCGGAGACTAAAATCCGTGGGATGTGGAGTGTGTATTTTTAGGGTCGACCTTTTCTAACCCCACCCCTCCTTGTTGGAAGGCAGCATCGCTGTCATGCTGGTTGTCTGAAGGAAACACCTTACTGCTGTCACACCGCTGTACAGTCAGCAGTATGACTTCACCCTCGGACCTTGGGTCTTCTACTCAGTTCTACCGATCTTCAACCGACCTGCCTGGCATGGTATGACCTTGAGGAACGATTGTTCCATCCAGTATAGCTCGATTGGTTCATTACGATAGGCAAGCCCGACCACCATGCCGGGGTAGCAGCAACGGTTGGGAAGGCGTGAAAAGCCTATATCATAATTATGAATTTGACCTTATATCCTTCCAAATTTCAAAATGGTGTTAAACAACTTAGGCTGTAAATAATGAGAATTAAACCAAAGAGTGGAATAGTGCACTCACTTGCAACTCAAAAGATGAACCTTTAGCTCCACCAATATCCCAGAAGATAACAGAACGGTCGGCACTGCAAGAAAATAGACGAGAATTTACACTATCCCAAGCCAGAAAGGATACTGACTGCTCATGGCCACGGAGTTCACGAATTACACGACACATCACTTGACCATTGACTTGATTAATGCTCAATAAAGTAATGCGACCGCTGCTATCACCAACAAACACGTAGTGTGAGCCAACATCATATCTGTAGTCGAGAAAATGTTAATCCCATGAGTAACAGTAAGACCGTCCGACAATAACAACTACAACAGTTAAGAAGCTGAGAAATAAAGATAACAGGTTTATGTAAAAGTATGAAACAAAAAGATACTGAATCCTACAAGATCATAAACATGGACGTAGTTATATTACCGATACGTCCATGTATTGTGCTAATAATTCGCACTACTCCGACTTTAACACCATGAACAACACTATTACGTTATCTTTTTTCTGCCTCACCAACTAAGGTAAAAACATGTTTTGCAAAAGAAACTATTTTAGATATAGACGCAGCATAGTTCATCAAAATATATTGGATTTATCGATTATATATCAATAAGAAATTATTAGAGTATTTAAACTGAGTGATTGTGATTGACGCAAAATATCACAAAAATGTATTGAGATTGAATGAAGTGTTCACACTAAGTAGTTTACTAAATGCCCCGGTACGGCCGAGAGTGGGGAGAGTCCGCTCTCCCTCTCGAAATGCTCTCACATGGCCATGCGTATATAGCCTCTGCCAGGGAAGTCCTACTCACTGCCTTCTCGTGGCATTACTGTTGTTTACGAAAATGAGAGGACGAAGAGCGAATGTCCGGCGCTCTAACCGGATCCCAAAACAATGGTGCACATGGGATCCAGTATCCTGAAGGAACAAATGGCGTATGAACCAATTGTTGGTCACCGGCTACCATGGGACTGCATCTCCTCACGATGCTCCACTGCCTTGTAGATCAGATATTCAGGTCGAAGGTTCGGGGTGTGGCTCCCTAAGAAAACCACCTGCTTCGGTTTGGGCACCCGGGCAGTATCACAACCCTCACACATATCAAATGAGATTTGTGTGGCGCATATGTGTTTAGTGCCTCCTTGTACCAATATCTATGTGTTAAAATAAATAAATAATAAATAAAATATAATAGATTGACTGATTTGATTTTCATAGGCTTTAATATCCCCAACAAGTTTTTACAGTGGATATGGAAAAGCACTGGTGATTTCGTATCCTACTAGTTGTTTGGATACTACCTAGGTATAAGCTGATGCGATAATAAATACTAACACCATAATATACAACTTGTTAATAAGTTTCCGGAGACAAGATAGCACTAGCCAAGTCATTCATTTTAACACATAAGTATAGGTACAGGGAGCCACCAAATACATATGCGCCACACGAATCCCAATTGATTTGTGTGAGGGCTGTGATACTGCCCGGGGGCCCAAACCGAAGCATGTGGTTTTCTTAGGGAGCCACACCCCGAGCCTTCGACCTGAAGATCTGACCAACAAGACAGTGGAGCATCGTGAGGAGATGCAGTCCCATGGTAGCCGGTGACCAACGATTGATTCATACGCCATTTGTTCCTTCAGGATACTGGATCCCATGTGCACCATTGTTTTGGGATCCGGTTAGAGCGCCGGACATTCGCTCTTCGTCCTCTCATTTTCGTAAACAACAGTAATGCCACGAGAAGGCAGTGAGTAGGACTTCCCTGGCAGAGGCTATATACGCATGGCCATGTGAGAGCATTTCGAGAGGGAGAGCGGACTCTCCCCACTCTCGGCCGTACCAGGGCATTTGGGGGCCAAGTAATTAGTTGCTAGCTTTCAAAATAATGATTGTACATGGTAAATAGTGTTAAATAATATCCGACTTATCAGATATGTACAATTCCCGAATACAACTTACGAGGAAGGAAAACGATATCAATTAGGATGAATTTTCAGTGCATTATATTATTTGGTGTGATTTTGTCCATGGACTCTCAACACATCTTTACTATGATTTCTGTTTACTGACAAAAACTCAATCCATAAATTCTAATCAGGGTAACTGATGCATAATCGATAAACCTAAATGTATTTTGAGTTTATTATAATACGGCCATTATCAACAAGCTTTAACTAAGAAACTGGTCCCTTTGCCTTAGTTACCACGGTAGGACAGAAGATAGCCTTGTCCACTGTATCGAAGTGGTTGAAAAATAGTGCACGAAAGTAGTAGCTTTGATACGAATTCGAGTGAACTTGAATACTGATTGTGTAGTAAGATATGGTGATATCTTCATAAAATTTATTTTATTATTTATTTTAGCACATAGGTATTGGTACAAGGAGGCACCAAATACATATGCGCCACACGAATCTGAATTGATCTGTGTGAGGGCTGTGATACTGTCCGGGTGCCGAAACCGAAGCAGGTGGTTTTCTTAGGGGGCCACACCCCGAGCCTTTGACCTGAACGTCTGATCCACAAGGCAGTGGAGCATCGCAAGGAGATGCAGTCGTAAGTTGTAGTTGAGTGCGACTGACTAGATAGAGTAAATGATAGATGTTAATTTATGCTAGTTAGAATACGGGATTGTGCAAGCCTCTAGACATCAGTGGAAACTGGAGTCGCTTTCGGAGCGATCCAGTTTCCAAACAAACAGAAGTATTTAAGTAAGAAATGACTTACATACATTATATACAATAAATTTTTTTGTGCATGAAGTGATATGTAAGTTAACCGAACATAATTAACTTTTCGGTGAATTTTATTTCATATGCGATTTTACTGAAAATTTTGTCAAAGACATTGTGTTTGACAGACACTGTACAATAGTAGACCGTTGCCACGGTCAAACATAACAGATACTCGATGTATTCCGTGTTTCGTAGAACACACGCACACGAATTCCTAATACAAAAGTAAAAATTTATCCTTTAACCTTACTCAAGCTGTGAAAAACGATTTTTTCAACCAAAGAGAGTTCTCTTGTGTTTCATTAATAAGTCCGTAAACGTCTAGAGGGTAATGTTTTAGATTCCGCGTAACTACTTGTCAAATAAACCACACAAAATAGGTAAGCTGTTAAGATAATAACAATCCACCTACTCCAAACACGTGGCTGAGTGCTCTAAATTATGTTCACATATACGTCTACCACTATTCGTCGAATACCATGCGACAGTTCGATCTTTTGAGGCAGATACAACCCAACCCATATCTGGAGTGCAGACGATCCCAGTTGTCCTAGCAGTATGGGAGAGATAGTCTCTTTTGTGTTCAATATGATTCAAATCTTCAGCAACGTCATATTCTACAACCGTTCCATTCTCCAAACCAACGAATAACCTGTGTGACTCGGCAGAATACGTGATACAAGTGACGGGACCTAGTATTCAAAACACTAATACAATGGAACATACTGGGTAGCAGCTCGATAACTGTTGGCCAGAACTTCCCAGTGTCTCTCCTGACCCAAATCCTCAAAGTACTAAATTTTAGTCAAGAAAATATGCAACTTGCCGATCCTCTGATCCTGTAACGATAGAGTCTCTACCAGGGATAAAGATCGCATCATTTACGCCACAAGAGAGTCCGTCGATTTTGAACACTAGTTCCGGTTTTGTAATTTGGCGAGAAGGGTCCTGAATAACAGCTGCCATCTGTAAGAACGTAGCACGCTAGTCAAATAGCCACGTTTTTGTAGCCCATTGTAATGCTCAAGTACACGAACTGGATTAAGATTCAAGAAAGAAGACACAAGACGTATTTTATTATTCGACCAATTTATTTTTGTATTTTCATAATATAATCTTGAGTGAATCGACTGAAAAGTGAACACTACATCACTTAGCATATTTTAAGGGTTAGTCACTCATTTCAAGAAGTAATATACAACAGATAAACCATTCGTTCTTTATTTGTCAACCCGCATATTATGTTATTTTTATTTTAATGACCTACTGGATACGTCAAGTCTAAATGTTTGTAGTGATCAGCCTCTATTAAAACGTATCTTCGCATTTTTTCATTTTTGACTTCTGATCTGATTGAATTTTGGATCCTTACATAAAGAGAAGTTTAGGATAATAACATTGACAAATACTGAAAATTCATAACGACTTCACTGGTGAGTCTCTATGTAATCTGATGCATCAAGTAGTAAACTGTGTCTTTTACCTTCATCAAATCATTATCCCTGAAATTATTGTGTACTAAAATACCATATTCAAGAATAAGATGGTGTACTTTCGACTTAATGGCAATCTAGATTCGATGTCGGTGAAATCGATCAAGATGAATCCCACAAACATTCTTGCTTTGAGTACTTGAGATGCAATATTCTCAAAAAAGTTCAAACTGTTGCCTTACCTTAAACCCAAGTCTCAATGATGGTAGGTTTTGCTAAGTGTTTGTGTAGTACCAAATTTACGTTAGAGCTGAAACTAATGTAAGTGAATCCACTTTTATTAACATTTAGTGTCAGATTCTGCAACACGGTCTATTCGTATGACTTGTTTATGTGTTCTTAGATTACTGATGAAATATAGCCTTCTTTGGTAGGAGATGAGAATGTATAAACCAAGTTCAGGTCGTCAGTAGAAGAGAGTCTTGAACATATCTGGAAAGGTTTAAACTTGTCTAGGCGTGTCCATTTCTGGGGGAATCGAGTAGTAAGATTCGTTAAAACTGTTGAAAATTATACTACATCGTGCCCCTTTCTCACATATTTGAGACAATTGTCAGCTTGGATGATGATGACGAATTCAAAAGAGAGAAATGGACGGAAAATTAATGCTGAAATATGATAAATAAATGTGTAAATGTAAAATGGGACCGAAAATTGTACAGTTGAGAAATTCTAAATCACAGATTTTGTGGACAAACATACTTCACATATCAAAGTAATCTACGGCTTTCCATTTTCAAGATCAGACGATTAGAATGCGTATTACATACGGTACACATAAAATGAAAGCCGGCATCAGTTAAAACTGAAGAGTTGAAACGAGAATTAATGCCACCCACAATTAATGTGATACTTCATGATAAATATGTGTGGGACAGTTTTAAGGTGAAGGTACTGGCCAGAAGCTATGACGGACTCACCGAAGAGAACGGATAACTCCGAAAAAAGGGTTAAAGCATCCGGAGGTAATTCAAGGGATTATATGCACATTTTACAGCTTAATCCCTCATCTGATGCGACTATACATTTTTGAAAGTGTTAGATTGAGGTCCAAGTTTAACCACTAATTCCAATAAGTATATGAGTTATAGCGTCCAGATACAGCTTCACGAATAGCATGTACAATTTTTGTCATATGGGATTATTTATTTTTTTAAAGTGCTAGATTGACGTCCTGTCAGATAGTCGAAACCGTTATATAATTATGTCCATATTATTACATGTTTTGAAGTTGTTGGATCGTGATCCTATCGTACAACGAAACATATACCGAATGTAAATATTCCTGAAAAGATTTATTTTCCTTAACATCAACAGAAAATACTGTTTTATTCTCGGCTAGGACTAAAAGAGAAGACCATATACCTCGGTAGGCGAGTAACGTCCTGCTCTTTGAGTGCTGGGTTGTTATCGAATGCCAACTGTTAGGTATGGACTTTAGCGTCTGAAGTTGCTTGTAATAGAACGATCTGGTAAAGTAGCGAGACCAGCATAAAGTGTTAAACAAGAGTCCCAGATGCATAATACATGGTGGGCAACCTAAATAACATTGAATGATTTTGCCAACAACAACCATAAAGAGCCGGGAGTAAACAAAATTTCTACCTCACAAACATTAGTGGAATGTAACCAACACTCCACCATCAATATTTGCTGGTCAGTAACTCCATCCTCCTTCCATAATGAGGTTAAATAATAATTATTTCTTTTCAAATAAAGATATTTCAAGCGAGACAATATCAGGTCGTTACAAATGCAACAGAATTTACCATAATACGTTACTAAGTTAGGTTGATATGTTATAAGACACACTAGCCGTAGAAACAGGAGGACAAATACGAATATAAGACTTGAATGTTGTGTGAGTTAGTGCGCTTTATAAAGGATGCGTTGCGACGGGCAGCTGGTGGTCAAGAATAAATGTGAGTAAAGCCGAGAGCTGTTTGTAACAAGAAGTAATGCGGTTAATGCATAACAGGTTAATTAAAAACGTCAACTTTAACGTATCGTTTTACTCCTGACAGTGTCCCCAAGTAGCAAGGTTAACAGTCCTTTTGTAAACACAACCGTAAATCCTTCTGAAATATGCAGGTATTAAGGAAGATAAAAGACGAAGTTATATAATCCATAATAATAACAGTGTTTTTGGTCTAGCTTGTTATTATTATCGCTATAATACTGGACCTTATCCTAAAAATGTAGATTTGTCATGATGTGACTATCTAATCTGTGAGATCTTACGTGCAAGTCTCATCATTGTTTACACTGACTCGTCGTATCTCAAAAATCAGCAATATAGCGTCTAATATTTCTGAATAACACATTTTGGATAAAGGTAGGATAATACATTTAACGTGAATTCAGACAAGTTATACAGAATGACTACGTCCGCGAGGCTGAGTCATACATCTGATTGAGTGAATGTTCTCGATTTCACTATACTTGCCTTTCTGCTGATGTCACATATTGAAAGTAAATCTTCTCAGTAAATACATGTTCAGCTTCGAAGATAGTGTAGTTAGGAACTAACACCACTACAACATATCCAGAGGATGCTGGAAAAGAGGGTAGAGAAGAGAAGTAGGATGAGAATATGGAGGTGGTTCAAAAGAACTGAATGTCTAAGATTATGTATATTTTAAAACGTATTAAGGGAAGCACAATATTTGGATATACAAATGGCTCTCTTATGACACTTTTTAACTTTTATCACACTTTCTCGGTAGGAGGTGAAACCAATTCAAGGTTACAAACGTAATTCAGAGATGTATTTGGCATAGACAATTAACATCGATACGTCTGTGGTATGTTCGAATACTGCTTTAATTTAAGACCTATGCTGTACAACTTGTCGGAATACACTGTTTCTACTAGTTACATGTCACAAGCAGATCAGACAGCTCAAAATTTTGTATTGCGGGTTAGACTTCCACTTAGTATATCACACCGCTATGAAGTTAACTAATGGTACAAGTTATAAGATACTGGTCAGATGGTGCATAGTTTAGAGATGGGTATGAACAGGTAGCTAATCAAAGTATATAAGAACTTGAGGTTGCACAAATGCTGAGTAAGATGATAAGTGAGGAAACAAAGCATTTAAATCCCAGTAAATTTTGGAAATTAAAACTTCTTTAAACTGATGGACTATGATCTAGAAGGAGCTCACAATAATTTCGGTCATTATAAGCTTCTTGTGATCGACCACAGTTGCACAACGTTCATAAGTCTAATGAGTTATCTTTACATTCAAAAAAGAAATTGAAAACGGACACGGAAGTTCATCGAAAAAATGATGTAACGTCAAACATTTAAGAAGCTTTGAAGCTGAACGTGAGGAATAGGAGAACAAAGGCAGGACTAACAACGAATAGTGAGAGAAGGGAAACCGTTTGATCCATTATTTGGTCATATATATGGACTGCAATGGAAGTCCGTTATATTCATGATCGGTCTATGTTTAAGGTGGTAGTAAACACATTTCGAAAAAAGTGAGTTCAGCTTCCGTTGTGAAACACTCCCCAATATGAAACTCGTTAGCCGTCTATATTTAGAAACAATAAAGGATGCATGTTCTTCAAATCACAAGCTTCCTGTGAACTCACCTTGGTGTCGGGGGTCGTTGTATCTAACCATTTGTTTGCGTTCCGTTAAGAATGAAGCGGACCATGAATATGGTAGGATGTTGATTCAGAAGGGCTTCAGTTTGGTGAGAAGCCTTTTGTGTGGGACCTTGTAAAAAGCTTTCTTCCAATCTAAGAAAAGGACTGATACAAGGAGTCCGTTGTGTCCTTTCAGAGTTATATCATTCACGCAGTCCACTAGGTATGTATCGCATGACCTGAACATCAGAAACCCATGTTGGGAGGTCAAGATGAGGTTATTAGTGAGTAGATATTGAACTACCTCAGCGTGAACTAATTTTTCCATCAGGTTCGATAGCACTGAAATGATGTTTATGGGCCGGTCATTTCCAGCACTTACTTATTACAAGAGAACTGGAGACATTTAGTTGATTAAAACCTTCATATTAGATATTATTAATTTCACTGTGTTTTTGGATGTATTCGTTTTACTGAACTTCTGAACTTGTTTGTTTATATCATTATTTTCGGACAGTGTTGGTTTCTCTTTTTTTTTGGTTTGGTATTTGGGAGTTTTTGCTCCGGGAACCTACAAAATTGAGGAACGACATTTGAGTCGACTATTTGTAAATTGCGAATAGACTTTGGTACCTTAATCGGAGTTTGGTTCTATTGTTAATTTAGGCTCGTAAATTTCAAATGGATCGATATACCGTACTTCAATAACGGGAACGAGCGAAAACTTGAACGTAACATACTGAAGGTCCTCAACTAATTTTGGGAATGACATGTACAGTTTTCCAGGCACTAGCAATTGCTCTCCAAAAAATATTTTGTCAGTTGACCGTGCAGTGTACTGTGGTTTTCAGTGTAGTTTCGATAGTAACTCTCGTGTCTTGGGTTAAAGCTGTTTCAATTTGTGCATATGGTTAGTTATGCT